TGTCCCAAAAAAAACAACTATTGAAATCACAAATAACAATTTAATTGTTAGAATTTGAATGCCTTAGTGCTCTGTTGGTTCCCACGAGTGCATAAATGATTGACATAAGTAAATTTATGCATAAAGAAACTGTTTAAGAAGCTGTTTTTAATTCCCAGGAGCAGAAAATCGCGCACTTTACCAGGAGATATTCCTAACTAAATTCTAATACATGCACCTTGTCAATATTTTACGCATCATTACGTCCAGCTGTTTGGTAGGGCATTCAAATTTAACAATAAGTGATTTCAATAGTTTTCGGTTTTTTGGGACACCCTGTATACTAGAGCGTCCAAAATAGTTCCACAAGCAACTCTAACATGTTTTTTTACATATGTCATACAAGCATTACTTGCTAATTTGCGGTATCTTGAGTGGATTCGCGTGGGCCAAAACATAGTATTAATATAGTAATAATACTGTCATTGTTTTCAAATGTATTCAAATACCCTGTCGTTTCTGACTTGGCGCAGAGAACAAATAAAGCTGTTAACGACTCGATCAACATTAATCTGCAGTGCATGGCGGTCTTACTAAGGAAATATTTAATTTTTAAAGTTATTCAAAGCCTGAAATGATTTATTAACAGTGTTAGTTATTATTTACATATACGTGGGCTGTATATATTTTCACAAAGTAACAAAATTAGGTCTTCTGCCTTATACAGTCACAGTTATAATTATCAATAATCGGAAGTTGGCCAAGCGAAAACTATATCAAAAGCTCCTTTATACTGCTCCGCTGGCTATTGTTAAAATATATGTTCATCACTTCATTTATAATGTTCCTCTGACATTTACGACAAAAGAAGGATATTGTTTAAGCCTCTTCCCACGACGATCTATTCAAATTTAACTAAGGGGTGCAATCTTAACTGCTGGGTACCCGTACCCGAGTAATATAAATGCCTTATTAATTTCTGAATGAATAATATGGACACTACATATACGGTTGTATTTGCATTCAAATTCACCTATCTTTCCCGATGAAGCTGATTTAAAGCCCTCACCGGGACTTGATACATCATAGTATAATTGCCAGCGAATAACTTTTAAAAGGAAGTCTATAGTTAAAAATGTTAAATGTTATTTCAACGGTTAACTTAAAGATTAGTTAAAAATTAACTACATATTAATTCTACATATAGCGTCTCTGGTGATATGTGTGTATTTGTGGAATATACCAAGATAACAAGATTACTTAGATTAGTCATGAACGATATGAACATATATTTATAATGGAAAGCTATTTGAATTTAAGATATAGTTACACCAAATGTTTATAACTGGTTAATAGTGCCTACTGCATGCATGCGTGTTTCATGATACAAAATAAAATTACAAGACAGAAAACTGTTAAATTAAGTTAAAGGATAAGATAGGTAGATCGAAACCCTGTTCATAAAGAAACGGGATTTCAGTTTTTAATTTCAGACATACTATTAATAATGCCCTCAAAAGTGTCCAGTTTAAAATGAGGCTAATGCCATGAGGCATTACAGAGCCCAAAATTAACAAATTCCAACCGGTTGGCTCCTAGGGCTATGTTGGTTCCAACTGTGGTTCCAATTAAGGTAAACTATCACAACTCATTTCTATACGTACGTGTTTAAATGGTAGGCTAGTATTGATTTAATTATCGTCCTGTCATGATGCCATTAAAATACATTCACCAATTATTCTAAACGTAAAATCAGGACAACATTGAACAACCAACCCATATCCATATCCTTATCTAATATTTAATACAAATTGTCTTCGTCATGAAAACAAGTACAATACATTCCTATATACAAGAGTACCAATACCAGATTGAATTTGAACTTAGTTTAGCAACAAAATGACGCTTGACTGACTTGAACAGTTGAAGAGCAGTATATATTGGCCCAATGTTTAGTTTTGGTTTTAATGTTTACTATGATAATAAAAGCGATATTATAATAATATAAAAATAATAAAATAGCTTGTTTTGTTTCAAATAACTTTAAGTTTAACAAACCGCTGCAATTCCCAGAGAAATATATCTACTGTATATATATATGTATTGTCATGGCATGACCTATGCAACATACAGAACCGCTGCCGCTTGTTGTCGACCGTTCAAGTGTAGTGAATTTTGAATCACAAGACTTAGCATGGCTTCCGGTCTTGGGCAATGGCAAATGTCCTTTCTCAAAATGCTAGTTAATCACTGGATGAAACAAATTGCTGCTCACCTTTTTACTCTTTTAGTTGTTCTGTACTCCAATTAACCAACAGCTGTTAACTTTGTCGGCCGAGTTCGACTTCACGAATTATTTAGTATGAGATAACAACTTGTCTATTGTCCTTATATATCAGTCACGTCTGCAGATAGCTAGAGTTCCGACGTTTTATATTTGCTCTACAGTCGGAAATTTGAGCGCATTTTAAGTGTTTCCGATGTGGCAACAACAAACACACAAACCCGGTTGCTGTCAAAGAGGTTTATGCAAACTAGATTAGTGTGAACCAATCCAGTTCCTAGATTTTGTAATGAGATGAAAGGTGGTATACCGTCGCCCACGCAGGATAAACTGGAAAAGACTACTGAATTTCAAAAATAATAAAACGGATAGATATGATAATGCGAACATTTGAAGTCCACTGTTACTTACTTCCATTTCTGTATGTCAGTACCTGCATGCATGTCTGATTATATTAACCGCACATAAATCGGCACCTACAGAACATTGCCAGTGGCTATGACAATGACAATATATATAAGTTATAACTTATAACATAGGAATAGGTTTAAAGTTTGTGAGTTTACGAGTTACGACAACTCTGATTTTTAAATACGTAATTGCAAAGCCCCGTCGACTGATTCCATTCACGAGCGAATCTTTATCAGGGGTTATCTGATGTCTCGACTCTAATTAACCTGCCTTAAAACCGCCAGCTACGTGACCCTGACTAAATCCTTATAATACCTCGAGTATACTGATGACCACTGATAAGAAGCCACGTTGCGACTCCAAATCACCCCTGGCTGATGTGTCGAAATTAAAGTTGGGTCGTGGATGCAATTCGACTGGGCTTTGCATTCATTCGTTCATTTAGAAATCAGAGTAGCGAGGGAAACATGATTGATAGGAATTGTCCGACACTGGATCCTAATGTGTAAACAATTACTTTTCCTCGTTCTTTCAATATATACTAACATTATTTTGTGTGTGTTCGTGTTGTGTACTCAGGTGAATATGATATTTGTGATGTTACTCTGAGTGTGTATCCACACCGGGTAAGCTGAAAAGTTAGCCTGGCCACGGTGGGAATCGAACCCGCGACCTTTGGGATATACTAGTCCAATGCTCTGCCAACTGAGCTACGTGGTCAAGTCGGTTCGAGTTGATGATATTTCGGAACTGAGTCTAGTTCCTTCGATATCAGTGTATAATCTATGATATGATTATTAATCATGCTGTCCGATATAGGATGTATGGGTTGAGGTAGCCTGCGTAGCAGTCGCTTTATTTTTTTTTATTTTTTATTTGAGGATATTTTTATTTGAGGATTTTTTTAATGCGAAAAAAAGAGCGGAAAAAAACGGCGAAGGAAAACGCCCTTTTCCACTTCGCCGTTTTTTCTCCGCTCTTTTTTTCGCATTAAAAAAATCCTCAAATAAAAATATCCTCAAATAAAATAAAAAAAATAAAGCGACTGCTACGCAGGCTAGGGTTGAGGTGGACTGGATGCAACATGATCTCCACCTTTGAATTTACTATATGAGTAAATTCTTAAACACGTCCGAATTTATCATTATGATAAATTCGCGGCACATTTTGAATTTATCAATAGAGTTAATCATAAAACCACAAGCATTGCACAAGGTTTCCCGTTATAAATTTTTTAAAAAAATAGTTTTTAAAAAAGTTTTAAAAAGTTTTAGAAGAGTTTTGAAAAGCAAGAAAAGTTTAAAAAGTTAGATTTTTAAAAAATTTAAAAAAATTTAAAAAGTTAAAAAAATTAGGGTTAGGGGTTAGTGGGTAGGGTTGGGGTTGGGGTTAGGGTTAGTGTTAGGTGCCGCGAATTTATTATTATGATAAATTCAAAATTTGCCGCGAATTTATCATAATGATAAATTCGGACGTGTTTAAGAATTTACTCATATAGTAAATTCAAAGGTGGAGCTCATGCTGACTGGATGAGGGCAGGGATCCGGGTGTCTGCTGCAACGTATATAAATTAAGTGATTATTGTCGTACGCATGCATAAAACGCATTGTATTATGTCCTATCAATACATCAATAGCGGTTAAACATTGGAATCCGTGTCAGGCGAAAAACCACTGCCTGTAGCTATTTAATACACAATATGCCATGCGTCAAAGGACACTGAGAATGTAACCATAGCAAAAGTAAGCCGGGACAATTTCTACTTAATTTGTATTCGGGAATAAACTGCAACAATACTACAATAGTATATATTTGTTACTGTCATCACTAATATGTGTAGCTCCTGCATTGACTTATATAGGCTATATATTATTGCAATTGACATATATTGATTGACATTTTATTTAAAGGGGCAATGAGAAAGCTGCGGATTGATCAGGCCGGAATCGCCGGATACAAGTAATAGAACTTTACCTGAAAAAAAAACAAGCCCTTCGTCGGGACTATTAACTTCCAGACAAAGCGCCTTCGCTCAAAACGTCGAATTTCTGCTTGTATGTTCAGGCAGTTGTATCCCTATCGATTCGCAGCTTCCTTATTATCGTATACTGGCACAGACCATTCTACGGATTATATCTATAGGTAATTATATCCTGGTAATATATCCTAGATTTCTGTAAAATCTCAAAGGGCAATCGCCAATCACCATCAACCACGCGTACAGTACTGATCTGTCATTCGCCAATCCAGGCCAATCAAAACTCTCCATTATTAAAATAATATAATAATAAAATAATATTGTGACCCTTTGGGACCCGTCTTTTCCCGGTTGCGCGAAAAGACTTCGGTTATATCAGTTATTATGCAAACTCACACACAAAATCATAAAGATTCAAGATGCGTAACATTGGCGTCACCAAGAAATTTGTACAATTATTTACTTCTACACATTTACGAGAAATTTGGAAAAAGAGAAAAGGACTTGTTTGAATTCTGTTTTAGAGACGATTTGCCATGTTCAGTTCTTGAATCGGGAGATCCGTTGAAGTGGTTTAAGACCTTGGAGCAGCGAGGAAAGTTATCGTGGAACGACGTTAATTCCATGGTAGATTTCCTAAAACAAGCTTCGTGTGATGACTTAGTATCTGCAGCTCGACATTACCAAGCGAGAATTGGGGTTATTCAGTTCTTTCAAAGGCATCTTCAAGCAAAGTTACCTAAATTTTGTTTGGGTAAGATATCAAATAACAATATATACGATTGTCGTATAACAATATATACGATTATATATTTTTGTTGCATAGCTACATATCTGATGCTTAGTATTCATTCGTACTTACTTTTAACGTTTCCCATCAACAATATTGTTACATTTGAAACGTCCAAGCAAGATTGGCTAATGTTCCGACAGATAACTATTACCGAATTTTACAAGTCCTTCGTGTTTATATAATTTAGTATTTTAGACAGGTTAGAACATTTCATAAACGGCTCTTGGTCAATAGTCGCGCATTATCTAGATTTTCTTTTAACGCTTTATTCTTCGTTCCCTCGAATATTAGTTACACTTAATATAAGCATTATCCCATTAGTAACTACTTTTTACGGTGAAATCTCTAGTCTTGGGCCACAAATCCGAGATTTGTAGCCATTCGCAAAGGAAACCGTATAATCAAATTATACACGCATGCATCAGGCATCTCATCATTTTTGTGTTTGAAATATATCTTTTGAGAACTGAATACTGATGTAATCGTTCTCTCTTATTTGAATGCGAGGTCTCCTAGATAATAAAGCGATTTTGTTTTTGTCCAGGCTACAAGAAATTGTACACAAATATCAAACAAAAATTATTAAATTAATATTGATTTCTCGTACTTCCTAATGTTATTGAGTCTGTAGTGACTCTTGTCACTAGTGTACCGTATTTTCTTGTCCTTTTTTATGATAGCAAAGACAAGGTAGAGTTGACATGCTTCCAACACTGCTTACTAGTGTTGTATTTTCAACCTACATTTATATATACACTTGAGAGTTCGAGTCCTCGTACAATATATAAACAGTTTGTTTTGAATATAACAATACGTTATTGTATTGAAATCGAAACCAAGTCTGAAAGCACATAAAAGTACTCGTAAGAGTAACAATCTTCCTCCGCAACTTTTGCTCATGTGGTAATTAACGCGGTTGAGCTAGATTAACTGGAAGTTGGTGCGATATTGACTGCTTAAAAGGACAACAAAATGTTGTATAGATCTTCCACTGGGTGACGTGCCGAGTTCCTGCAGTCAGTACATGCATGCACTTCGAGTTCGACTGATTGTTTCTTTGACTTTGTCCTTTCAAATCCCGCAGAAACATTTAACATCTATTCAATACACTGTTTATTTGGTACTATATGGGAGTACACATTATCTCAGGTTAGTCTTAATATAGTTTTAGCAGCTAGAGTCTAGACGCTATAGTCTTGCCAAAATACAAAATCGAAAGCGTTTTATAGTAAAAAAAATATGGTAATGCGCGTTTCGGGCAGTCGCTCCTAGCCGACTAATACACGTGCATTGCCTATTTGGAAGCAAATTGAAACTTTATGTACAGCTGTAACAAGGTATTTTCTATCACCTCAGTAATCTTCAAGATTTCAGCAAAAAATATATAATGTATTCAATTGCCACTTTGGCCTCTGAAGTGATGTAGTTATGCACGAAGTGCCTTGTGGGAAGGGCCTCATTCTTATTCACTATTACTCAAGTATTCACCCAGTGACTGTGAACTGTCAGTATTATACCTATTACCATTTTGTAAACTAGGCTATTACCTAGCTTGTTTTCCACTCTTATAAAATTGGGAAATATATTTTGTGTTTGGACGTAGGCCTACATGTATATGCCCAAAAAAGTCAATTCATAAAGGAGTTCTTAATTAATTAAAAGCCTATAAAATTAACTTATATTTTGTAGGTAAAGTTACATAGTCATAGATATGTGTAGTACAGTGTACTGTCTAACTATACAATCTGCTCAGTATTTTTTAATTTTCTTTCAATTCATACTAACGATTTTGGATCAGGGCAAAGGGCATGATGTTCTTTGAATTTAGATGGCCTGATGTTGATTGTTCATTAGTGACGGTATATTGATTATTGTGACAAGAAATACAATACTGTATTTGATAATTTACACTAGACAAGTTTCTTGTTTACCACTTCCAGCTAGCCTTAGTCCTAGACGGTCAAAGCTGCTGTCTTCTTATAATAATATTATTATAATCTTTATTCCTAAAAGGATACAAACAAATTAAAAAATACGAAATAGAACTATATTACACAAAAATACTTAATTAGTTGACTGTAACAAATCAAAAGATGGTGATAAAATTATGTCGTATAACAGTCAGTAGAAGATGTTTTCAAAATATTTTTATCTGACAGAAATTATTATCTGATTTTGCAACTTGAATGCCATAAATGAACTATTAATTTTATATAATACTGTATATATAAGCTACCCGATGAAATTATGTCTTAGAGTTGCAAACGCTGCATTACTGCCATTAAATAATGTTGACTGTTACATTGCATATTTCTTCTTTTTAAAGTTATTTCCCCCATCTTTTTGCCCAACTTACGTTTATAATTTGCCCAACTTCTGAGTTCTCGACGTTGTTGAATCTGATCTCTCCAGTATTCCATGAACTTTAGATGTAATGTATAGTCTTGAAAGAATGGCAAATATTCTCGACTTGTTTGTCAGTTGGTATCATATGAATTCAATTTAGTCTAATTATTAACTTAAACAGCTGTAGTAAATACTTAAATACTTCTAATTATGAATAATGCATGTTGTAAATTGAATTTCGTACAAACTCATGCACCATTAGTGTAATCTGCAGGGTATCTGAAGGAGTTGGACTTTTAATGCGAAGCCAATGTTTTGTTATAAGTTATAAGTGTATAGCTACATATGTTTTATAATTAGGGATATTCATCTTATATCTCAGACTATCTATTAGCTAGTTTGTACTGAGATTTTGAATGAACATCTATGATTCGTTTGCATGCAGAATTTGGAGGAGTTCCCCTTTAAACATTTTGGTTCGTAACATCTCAAAATAATCTATTTACCGAAATAATTTTACCTCATACAAATGGACTCCAAACTTCATAACTATATGGCAAATACAGCTCTGCAGAAGCACTCAACGACGTCACATAGCGAGGGCGCTGACAAATTCGCGTCTGCACAGAGAACAACAAAATAACGCCAAAATAGAGAACAACAGAAATTACAGAATAGCTCCTTTAATATTTGGGTTGAATAAATTTAGAGTTCTCCGATAAATTATTCATGCATTCTCCACGACTATACGGTATACCCGAACAGGCCACATACAGTTCACAATGCATAATGCTGTATATGTGCACCCTCTGATGTACACGTAACGATTACACAGTTAATTAACGAATTTTAATTTTCATCTGTAGACGATAAATTGAAGAAGAAATGGGGTTCGGAGCAACAACTGCCAAATGATTATTTCGACAGATGCGAGGAATTCTTCTTCCGACAGAATAGCGATGAATCGAGAGACCAAGTTCGTTGTTTATTTTCCAAAGGCGTTGTTCTGTTGGTGAATAGCTGTTCTGGACCTTCCAGTGATTCTGTGCAGTCAGCTTGTTTCAAGCTTCTCTACTTAGCTGATCTGTTTTACAAGAGGTTTAAGAAAATGATAGTTGATGATAAAGAACTAGTAAGCTGTTCACTGTTTTTCTGCCTCTATTATTGTTTGTACACTCCAAAAACTTCCTGGGTAATGTAACCATGTCAGTCCATTTGATCACTATCGTGGTTAGTGTAACCAGGATTTTTGCTTAACCAGGCTATACATGACTGAATTAACCAGATTATCTTACAGTAGCTGAATTATTAACCAGGAATTCTTAGTAAAAGGTAAACGGTCCACCTGAGATAATCTACTTAATTCATATAATTGGTGTAAAACTAAAATGATAATAAGGAAGAGAGGGGGTATCTCTTAAAGGGGGCGGGGTGACAAGACATGAAGTTCCCAAGGCGTGGAGGGTGTAACTTGCATAGGCCTATGGGGCTGATGCTTTCCATGGGGGCAGTTGAAAGTTTGCCCGAATTGTTATGGGGGATTGTAATGAAATTGCCTGAATTTAACCTATTTTCTGATAAATCTGCTCGAATTTCCTTAATTTCTTCCAGCATCTGCCCAAATTTCCATGGTTTTCCAAAATTGGGGGGGGGGAGTTGCCCCCCCCTGCCACCTGTCTCGTACGCCAATGGTAACATGATAAATATGGCATGGAAAGTTTAGATATTTATATTTGGTTCTAGTAGTTCTTTAATTAGTGTTTTGAAGAAAGAACTTCGCTTCAAATAAAATATTCCGACATACCGGAGCTATTTCATGTTGGAGCCACATACATAGTCATAGTAGATAAGATTACCATCATTGCCGCGTCATTTCAATACTACAGTTGCAAAGAACTTTCCACGTTATGAATATGCATTCTGCAAAAATATTGGGAGGTATGCACCCCCCCCAAATCAGCATGAAATTTAACAAGGAGGACTTAGCTCCCTGAGGTTCTAACAGGGAGGATGATCCCTTCTTCCACCACCCGCCCCCTCTTCCACACCACTGACCATATAGGCCAGTTAAATTAGTCAGGAATTCTGGTTAAATTACGCCTGACTAGCTATGATCAACTGAATTAACCAGGATTGTGGTTAAAGTAACCAGGAAAAGTATTACAACCAGCAACATTAAGTTACCTGTTACCCCCAAACAGTGTTAATTTTAGATATTAATAAACCAGGAAATTTTTAACTAGAGGGCGTTTTTAGAGTGTACATAGCAATGACCAGTCCACGTTCTCCAACTATTTGCAAGAAAACATGTATAAAAATATCGTCTTGAGTTATGTTTAGTTAACGAAATGTTACATACTATTCTGAGCATGTTATTTACGCTATATATTCATTCTCATACCATCTTTCTTTTAAGCTGAATATAAAGCCTTCACGTATTACCAAACTTTCGGCTCTTGGTAATCGTAGACGAATGTCAGGTAGACGGAGGCGAAGAAGTCCAGAACCAGTTGAAGTTAGACTGCAATTATCTTACAGAAGTGAAGTTATTTATCATTATAACGTATTACTCATGTGTATGTCATTACAACTTGTAATTCTTACAAGTTTGCTGGGCTGGGGAATGGGGGTTTTATAAAGGTGGCAAGCATTTAAATGAACATGTATTGGAAGGAGATTTATCAGATTTAATTAGGCAGTGAAAATGGCTCCTTAGTAAAGGTTTCTCTTTATGTGTAGATTGTATCATTTGTTTTTGTTGGAAAAATTAATGCATGCATGGTTGCTTTTCGGCATTGTTTATTCCTCATCGTGATTAATTAATTAATATTATTTAGGAACATTCTCTGTCTAAAACTAAGAAGTAGGGTGAGGCGTTTAATCGATAAGTTATAAATTTTTTTGACATAAGTTATAAATGTTTTCCCATTCTTTTTCAGACGGTTTTAAGTTTTTACCCTGAACCGCCTCAACCTATTCAAGAGTATACAACTATGTGTTTTGTAGAAACCGAACGGAGCCATCTTTAACCATAATTAGATAAATGAGGCAGGGGAGGAGAGTAGAGGAGGGTGATGAGGAGAGAGCAAATTAGATTAACAGGGCCGCTGAGAGAACTCGCGGGGACCGGGGCAAATCTTCCCTGGGGGCCCATGATATCAATATATAGTCCTTAGCTATATAGACTGCATGTGAAGGTACGGTAAGGGGCCCTCAATTTCAAAAAATGCTCTGACCAATTTAAAGAATCTACTCAATTTTAGGCTTTTGCGTTCAAGTTGAAGCCCTATTAAGGTGGGGCCCCGGGGAAATTTGTCTCCTCCCCCACCCTCTCGGCGGCCCCGTAGACTAGTGAAAAAAGTGAGCAAGAATTAGAAATTAGTGAAAAATTAATTTGAAGAAAAAAGAAAAATTTAAAAACAAAAAAAATTAAGAAGGAAGATTTCAAAACAAAAATACATCGAAGATGGGATACAGATCCTTAACATGAATTAAGGATCTTTCAAGAAACGGATGTTTAAACGAGAAGGTATTAAACATTAAACGAAACTAATAATCGAGAAAAGAATAATAAACCGGCCGAATTAAACGACGGAAAATATTCGAGATTTGAAGTAAAACGGATTTTACTTGCTAAAAATGTGTTATGTGCTAACAATGGTTTCAATGCATGTAAGTTAAAATATTTGATATTAAGATTGTACATGAAGAAACCTAAACAAAGCACGAGATAAACAAAGATGTCAATATATGATATACGATAAAAATTATAGTCGATGATATTAAAAATTGATAGGCTATAATGATTGGTAAATACATTGACAATTGATGTTCAAGAAGAAGTACCAATCGAACGTTCTTGAAGACCGCGTCTTTTGACAATCGCTTTACGATGTTGATGACAAGTTGATAAATTACGAGTAACATTTATTAATAAGGTTGAACAGAACAACCATGACGAATCGAAGATAAGTTAAAGGTTGCAAATCGTAAAATATACAGATGTAACTGTGAGCATGTATGTGTTATAATACGGGATGTTCTCAATTAAGGCAAGTGTCTTAAAAATTAACAATGGTTTAACTATAATAAAGTTGCAAAGTCAAATTGGTTAAATTTATTAAATTTATCAAAGAGACGAAAGTAATCGAAGTACGAGTTAAACAAATGTAGCAATCGAAGTGGAATAATATTGAAAAAGGTTTAGTTGTTGTATCTTTAAGTAGATACGTGTTTTGTAGAAAACAAAACCGCGGAACCGAAGTCACAGATCGATGTGAATATATGCATATTTTAGTTATATAAAATTTGTAATGCGAATATTTGGTCAAATTGTGACTGTATTTCAAGTACTTCAAAGTAGGTGACCTGCTGATTGCTGAATTACTACGAATGTAGACTATAACTATCATATCACTGGAATTTGTTTCCAAATCCTTAATATGGAGATTTAGTATAATTACATAGGTGATTATTGAAAATTCTCCACGCTGATTGGTTGCCGTTGAGGTGATTATTACGCGATAATCACCTAAGCGATTTTCAAAATGACGGCCGAAGCTGTTTTGTCAATTAAATGACGAAGAAATGTGCATTTTAATTTTTTTTTCCAAATAATCACCTATGAAATTATACTAAAACAATTATTCACCTCAGGCTCGGTGATTATTGTGAATAAAAACCTCGACTTCGTCTCGGTTTTCATTCACCGATAATCACCTCGCCTTCGGCGAATAATTGTTAAATAGATAGTATATGGATCTCTGTTGGAAATAGTATGAAAATCCAATTTTCAGAATAATTGTAATTTTCATATTCTTGGATATAGTGTGGAAATAGTATGGATATACTACGGATTTAATTATGTAATTGCAAATTCCGTAGTAAGGATTTCACTACTTTTTTCCAATGAAGCTATAACAGTATAAGCTTATTGAATTGTTGTAAAGTACCACGAAAGTAGACTACAACTATAAGCCAGCTGAATTTTTGTAAAGTACTACGAAGGCAGGCCATGCACGATCAGAAATTGCAGCCACACATTGAGAGCTAAGATGAGCCAGCTCATCTTAACCGGCTGAACATGCGTAGAATGTACATGCTGACGTGTAAGAAATATTAATGAGAAAAGCTGCTAAAGTATTTCAAGATTTAGTTTTTGATTTGCTGGTAGAATTTCGAGATTTAGAGTTTAAAGTTAAATTAAAGGCCCAAGAAAAATATTAGGTGACTCAAGCATAACTAAAAACTATTTAAACCTACAATTCGAGTCTTGATTTCGCCACAAATAAGTCGAAATAAAGCAAAACAAAAAGTGCAGGAAAAATCTTGACTGAGCCTACAATGTCATGCATTGAATGCCGCTGACCATTTTTCTGTGCAATTTCCTGGATATGGATTCATGTCTCGCTGTTTATGAATTAGGGTTAGCGGTTAGGGTTAGGGCTAGGGTCAGGGTGAGGATTAGCATTCATAAATAGCGAGACATGAATCTATAACCAATTTCCGATCGTGTGTAGCTCGTAAAGCCTGCTGAACTGTTGTAAAGTACTACAACAGTAGACTATTACTATATAAGCCTGCTAAATTTTTGTAAAATACTGTGAACAGTAGACTATTACTATAAGCCTGCTGTATTGTTGTAAAGTTCTACGAAAGTAGACTCAGCGCTCTTGATCATTCTATGTAAAAAGCGCTTTATAATTATGAATTATTAAATTACTATTATTATTACTATTACTATTACTATTACTATATATTACTATTACTATTACTATTACTATTACTAGGCTATATAAGCCTGCTGAATTGTTATAAAGTTAGTATACTACAAAAGTAGACTCAGCGCTCTTGATCATTCTATGTAAGAAAACGCTTTATAATTATTACTATTACTATATATATAAGCCTGCTGAATTGTTGTAAAGTACTACGAAAGTAGACTATAACTATAAGCTCGCTCTTTTGTTGTAAAGTAGCTATACTATACTACTATTAAAATAAAATGCGTATTTTACATGTGTGTACTATGTGTGTACTGGTTTTAGGGACCGACCTTTAGAAAAGTGATGGGGGGGGCACAACCTAAAAAACTTTATTCCCAGAAAAATATTAGGGAAAAATCTTCCCAGGCATAGTGCAAAAAAAAATTCCCTAGCTTGGAAGATAGACCTGTAAATTTCACTTAAAAAAATTTCCAGCCATCAAGTAGGAAAAAAATATATTACTTCTAAAGGTGTACAAAAAATACATATATTAATTGCCTCTTAGCCTGAAATCCCCCCTCCCCCATCACTTTTCTAATGGTCCGTCCCTTACCTGTAAAACACTTTAATTAAGTTAAACACTTTAATTATTTGTGTTTTATTACGCCCTGGTTTTACCTGACTAACCGGTCCGCTATAAAGCCCATTCCGTTGGCCGATTTCCCTAGGCTTGTGCAGTGACGGAAATTGCACTCGAAAAGGACCCCCCACCCCCCATTTGCACTCGAAAAGGCTGTTTTTAGCCCTCTTTTAGGTCAAAATTTCCGAAAATTCGTCAATTTCCGTGAAGGTGGGGGGGAGGGCGGTGGCCCCCCGCCCCACCGAGATTTCCGCCACCGCCTGGGTTACTACCTACCTGCTCCCCGTGGGGAGGAGTGTACAGAGGAGGACAGTATTTCACGCACGTCCACAATGCATAATATTAACCCAGATGATAAGTACTACCTTATCAATATATTCCTGCACAACAATATGGTCATTTGTATGAATACGGTCAGCATTCTTCACCAAATATATCCTGGGACAAATTAATAAATAAATTTCAATATACTTATCATCAACAATATTAATATTGTTTGAACTATACATATTAGACAGCCCCAAACACTTTAACAAATTCGCATGTTTTCACCCTAAAGTAGGATTTGTAGCAATTCACCTGCCTTATTCTGGTTCGTATCATGCATTAGTTAGACATAGTATCCTACGTTTAAATAACTCTAAGTCCAAAACGCTGTTATAGAATCCAATTCCCTCCTTCCAAGGGAACATGCTTGGGCACCTTTAGAAATCTTGTTCCTTATACATTTGTCCCCCTCCCTCCAACATTCCCCCATTCCAACCTTGGATTTCGATCTATAGCCAGATGAAATCATACTTGAAATCCTCTTTCACATACTTGAGACTCCCCGTGTGTTATTTGAGACTTCCTGATTGACTTTGTCTCTCTCGTACGTGTTTTAATTTACAACGAGACACTCGCGTTGCAGATTGTAAATACTTTCTTCAAACTGCATTTCCTCAGATGTCGCAAAATACAGATAGTTGATTTGTAAAAAAATGTGAAGCGTTCTTTTCCTTACCCATTTCCCATGGCGCCATTGGCAGGTTTCACTATAAATGTTTTTGTTTTCCTCTTTTTCTTCAAATCCCTGCAATAATTTGTAAACAACGTGTACCTACAGATTTAGTCAAGGAAATGATGAGTAAAAATATATACATGTGCTCACAGTTTTGTCTTTGTGACATCATTAATAAAACAGTCTTTACTGTAGGCCCTACGTGCAAAGTAAAGAAAAATAGGTACGCAGTTTCGGTGTAAGGGTAAATATCAGGATTGACTTTGGGCATAGGTAGGTAGATAGGTAAAACTTTATTTTACTACGCTAACCCCTACAGCAAAAGCTGATTTCCAAGGGGGGCGTAGCATTAAATTCAAATTTACATTAAAAATTTAGAAAAGTTAAACATACAAATACAGTTACTTGCATGCAGTTATTACAATTACATACATAATTAAATAGATAATAGTACATACAGTACATACATAATAGTAAATATTAATAGATTAAATAGTCAAGGTAAATATGGGTTTGAAAACTCTAATTAGTAGCCAGGTGTCATACGTTTTTATTGAATATAGCTAGTGATTCTTTTCCTCTTAATTCATTTGGGAGACTATTCCACAGTTTAGCCCCTCTATAGCTAAGACTTTTTTTAAGATATTCAGTCTTAGGCTTGGGCAAATGGAGTTTAGTGGAAGAGCCCCGCAAATTATAATGTTGGGAGGAAGACGTCTTTTGAAAAATATCAGTAAGTCGTAAGGGCGCTAGATCATGAGTAATTTTATACATAAGACTTGCCACAAACTGAGTTCTGCGTTCGCTCAGAGGTTTCCAGTTTAATTCATTTAGAGCAAGTTCAGATTGACCATGTTCATTTTTACGACCCACGATAGCTCTAGCAGCCCTATTTTGTAATTTCTGGAGACGATCAGAAAGTGTGGTACCAATGGTGTCCCAAACTTCGCAACAATAATCACTAGGTGAGGCAAAACAAGTGCATTATAGGCACAAATTAATGTATTACTGTCTACACATGATTTTAACTTCCTGATTGCCCCAATTCCGGATGAGACTTTTTTGGCAATTTTATCAATATGCTTTTCCCATGATAGAAATTCATCAATATAGACTCCAAGTACCTTTGTTTCTCTTACCCTTTTAATTGGTATGTCACCAACAAATACCTTTGGGGTAGCCAATATATTATTATTATGCCGTGATCCAATTAGTATGTACTCAGTTTTAACGAGATTTAAAGATAGTTTATTTGCACAGAGCCACTGATTAACGTTTGAAAGATCGTGATTGATGGCAACTTCTACATCATGAAGAGATTTACCAGATACAGTTAACGTCGTATCGTCGGCAAACAGCGATAGCCGATTCGGCGCTACACGCCTCATCGGCTATCAGCTCATATTCGACTCGAGTTCGTAGAATAACTGTTAAATAGCCTGTGATCAGGCATGAAGGTCGTGATCGCAAGGAAATTATTCATTTGTGAATGACGGATATAGTCATTCATATCAATCCATGAAGATTATGTAAAATTGACCTTCAATTCTTTAATATGTACGATATAAAACATGAGCAGCAGTGTTTATCAGATATAAAGATACGAGACGTAGCCGAATATCTTCAGGTCTGATAAAACACGCACTGCAGATGTTTTAAATTGCTACAAAAACGACCGATCTATAGAGTATATAGTAAGTTCACTGGCGAAGTAATTTTCAAAAAACACGTTGTGTAAGTCGAGAAAATCAAAGACTAAGTTAAAGTTTACATAAATCAAGAGAAAAGTCTATCACATATAAAGATACGACACGTTCATGATTTTTCTTTGTGTTTTCTCATGAATTATTAATGAGTTTTTGAAATATATTTTAAACTTAAACCATATTAAGTTGCGTCTGTTTCAACCATGTCATTATATGTTGACTGGTGGATATCCTTGCGTTACATTCTGATCCAGGGTTTTCTGTGAAGCTCTAGCTAATTATGAAAACGGCTATGGTAAACGCAAACCCAGGGGGTCCTGGGGCATGATCTCTCAGGAACACTCGAAATTTCGATGCTCCGGAATGCCATTTTTGGTATTGGGGAAGGCTTTTTCAACAAAATCTTTCTTATTTATATGTTTATTGTGTAGTATATATATATATATATATATATATATATATATATATATATATATATATATATATATATATATATATATATATATTATAAAATTATAAAGGAGTGCATACGCAACTTTATTAATAATATATGTGGAATTTTCGTAGTTCTCATTTGACAATTGAAAACTCTAGCGAATTTAGGCATTGGCTTGACTTAAAAGAATACCGAATTTCGTCGTACGCCTAGCCTAGTATAGACTAGCCACAAGTCCGTCTCAGAATGTTTCCCTAGGCCTAGCTTTAATGGGCGAGTAAAGATGAATAAAAGTGACGTCTTCGAAAAGGACTCTACGAAAGTGTAAGCCTATATATATATCATAATACAGCATAATACAGGCTGTAAACAGGCTACCGTTCGCCGACCTAAACCCTAGCTCTCATGTCCATTCGTAACTATTATAATTTGTTTATCTAGCATTAGAAACATCGGTGTAAGGAACATGATATCACAACAAGATAACAACGGGGATGATGACATCATAACTTTAGACACCGCCATTGTTTGCGTGTTGGTACTTGTTACAACTTGCATGGCCCATCAAACAAGCAAACTCCGTGAAAGGAAATAGCTTTGTTGACCTTTTGTTCCATCGTAATTCCTATAGAAGTACTGGAGAGATCTGTCCTGCGCTTTACTGCGCCCTGGTGTGCCCTGGTCCTGCATCGGCTGCACCTGACCAGACACTTGGCCTCGGGCTGTGACGACCAAGGGCGAATTATATGAAACCAACAAGTTTTTCCTTGTTTCTATCATTTCAAGTCAACCACATCAAATACATTTAATTTGGGGAAAAAAGAGAAAATCTCTGCGCCAGCGAGTATTCTGGAATGAAAGATAATTATGAAACAAGGTGATAATACACATAATCTCCAAAGGACGTGTTTTCTTAGCCTGCGTTGCTTGCGGCTTTCTGCTTTAATGGCTTGTGGAATTGAAGAGCGGGAACATGTTGGGGTCTGTTGGCGCCTCACTACACAGGTCTTCTTGACATTTTGTCATCTTCAATGTTTACACCCAAGTCTTACCATAATCGCCGTCAAACTATTTCTTTAACTAAGAATATTAAATGGGTTGACAGCGGATATGCAAGACAGTTCTTCTCTTTATCAAAGCATACAGAGTATATGATCTCTTGAGCATATCAAATGCATTCCAGAGTGTTCGTCAAAACAATATCCCAGCACTTTGCTTCTGAATAAAACAACGTTATCAGGCTTAATGGCTGCCTCAAACCTTGCAACATTTTGGCTGCCAAACAGCCAAAGATGATATGAGATGCATAATTTGCGTAACATTATTTTGCAATCATCTGTACACAGAAAACGCAAAATCTCTTTGAAGCTTCTTCAACGTCAGAATTTTTTATTAGCGAAATCTCCATAAAATCTGGCAAAAAAACACAGCAAAGCTCATAGCATGAACATATTTTTTTACTTGATTCCCCACGAGTGAAAGAAATTAATATATATAGAAATTGTTTGACAAGCTGTTGATGAGTAGTTAAAGTTAGTTAAGATTCGCTTTCGTTCTATAAATGGTATGCAAATAATGGGCGTGTACGAGACGAATATCTAATTAGTCGCCAACCTGTGCACACAGTTGCTTCAAGCATCACAACCAGGTTTCTCCCGCTTTATCATCAAATTGATTTTTGTACAGCAGCTTGTATTCCATAACTCGCCTTCATCTTAGGTCTTGATAGCGTAAATATCCAAGGCAACATAAGAAGAGTTATTATTGGGGATGAAGGAGGTACGAGTGGTTGGGTGGGGATTACAGCAATCCCTACGATGGTGCTTGATTATTCATGCTGATGCATCTCGAACAGCTACCGATTCCATCTCTACCGACGAAAGCGAGCAATCTTAGCATTGAATAATAAACGTAATAATAATGTAGTTATTTGTCCCGTGACTTGATATCGTATCTAATGTTAATTCATTTTAAGAGTGTCAATCTTCTCTAATGTGGTCGTTGATTGGCTATACAGGCTCATACTTGTTCCTGTGGAGATACATAAATTTGAAATGAAAATCGAGAAAATGAATGTGTAACAAAAGGATACTCAGCGGGTAAAATCCACGTGCCAGGAACGAAATTATAATCTTCAGGAAATGCTTTCTCCATTCTAAATAAATATCATTGCAATGTATTGTATATTTTGTATAGGTACGTAGATCAGGATCAGCATATAAGTATACAGTGACACATCTGCTTACGTACTGTATCTCTCTAATACGTACATATATCTCTCTAAAACAGACATCTCTCTAAAACAGACATCTCTCTAAAACAGACATCTCTCTAAAACAGACATCTCTCTAAAACAGACATCTCTCTAAAACAGACATCTCGCTAAAACAGACATCTCTCTAAAAAAGACATCTCTCTAAAACAGACATCTCTCTAAAACAGACATCTCTCTAAAACAGACATCTCTCTAAAACAGACATCTCTCTAAAACAGACATCTCTCTAAAACAGACATCTCTCTAAAACAGACATCTCTCTAAAACAGACATCTCTCTAAAACAGACATCTCTCTAAAACAGACATCTCTCTAAAACAGACATCTCTCTAAAACAGACATCTCGCTAATACGGAAATCTCTCTAAAATAGACATCTCTCTAATACGGAAATCTCTCTAACACAGACATCTTTAATATAGACATCTCTCTAATACAGACATCTCCCTAATATGGACAATCTCTCTAATACAGACATCTCTCTAAAACAGACATCTCTCTAAAACAGACATTTGTCTAATACAGACATCTCTCTAAAACAGACATCTCTCTAAAACCATTGAGCCGTAATATGCCTGAGTGCGCCCTACATATTTTCTTTTACTTGTCTAATGCCAGACGATTTTACTCATCAATGGGGAAGCTCTGCAGCTTAATGGGTTAACAAACAATTTCCAAAGTCACAATATTACCTGGTCATGTGTCGAGCTAAGGCATCCTTTCGACATATTTCTCCCATGCCTGGAAAATGATTTATTCTCTGGCAAAGAAAAGTGATATAACACCAAATCAATGAGAGAAAATATAATGGGTATATTTTAATGTTTTAAACAACATTAAC